ACCTGCCGCCGAGTTGCAAGATCTTAATCAATCAATTAACAACAGCAATACAGCAATACTGGTGCTTCGCTGCCATAACACCATGATGACCTATGGAATAAAGGATAATAAGACGGAGAAAAGGAGACCTTACCTGAAAACCTTAGTGCCCTAAGCAAACATTCAGGATCAAGGCGCCTACACCTTGTGTAGACAACATACCGTCAAAAACAGCTGGAGATCGTGCAAAGATAAGGTGGCATCGGCGAGACAGCTTCCTTGCGGCTTTCACTGCCACGCGTCATAATCAACCATTACCCCGCAGATAACTCAGCACCACACTTTAAACAGGCAATCCGATTAGGAGACGGCAGCAGACGCGCCACTGGTGTCGGTTGCGAGCCATGTCCTGTAAAGTCTCGAGCCAAGCACAAGGCGAGACATGTGAACTAAAGCCCAGAAGACGAGACGGAACAACGGCACCCAATTTGGTCGTCAGTGATTTTATTTCACACTGCCAAGTCAACTTTTGTCCACCTCGAGCCTTGCGCTACTCCAAACCAGGCAGACTAACAAGGCCCTCCCAGGTAAGCGGTGACCAAGCATACGTAGCACATGGGCAAACCAACGCAAATTATTTAGTGCTATCTGTTGTTCTAAGGACCTGGCATGATTATCACCACCTAGTACTCGACTATGCACATTATCGTTGCGGACACGCTGGTGCCACCCGACACCAGCAATGCTTCGCTGACAACGATGATCAGAGACTTGAAAGCACCTCAGAGCTTCAGACCGAAGGGGTCAAGTCTCACTACCACACAGCAGAACGGCCCTCACTGTGGCCTTGTATACACAGCCTTTCAGACAAAGGGAAAATCCCTTCTGTCGGCAAAGAAGCCGCAAGTTCAAGAAGGCAGTTCTGGCTTTTCAATGCGTGAACTGACTTCACCGAGGCTGCTCTACGCTACTGCGCGCCGCAACTACGCATTGATGATGTCACCTCGATTGTTGACGAAACATTTACGACGAAATTGCGAAGCTCAGCGAAAAGTTCCACCACCTCCTTGAACTTTGAAGGCGCGAAGCGCATACCAAATAATGGGACAACTTTGGGCAGGCTATTCAGGGTTGATTGGGTCGCCCCAACATCGTCGAAAAGCAAGACGGTATCGTCCGCATAATTTAGAACAACTAACCTTTCACCAGGGCGCACTTCAACGCCTACATCGTGAGATTCCGCAAGGGAACACTCCATGAGAGAGTCCACGACGAAATTGAACAAAAAAGGGGAAGTCGGACAACCCTGTCGAACGCCACTTGTGGTCGGAAAGCTATTCGATAGGACACCGTAGACCCTGACGCGGCCTGTAGTGTTCGAGTATAGAGCACGAAGGATGTTCAGATATTCGTGGGAATACCTTTCCGCGCAAGTATCTCGAACAGAATCGATCGATCGACTGAATCGAACGCACTCTTGAAATCGAGGAACACAGCTATTGTCGGTCTGCGGTATGCGTGGCGCTGCTCTAGCACCTGCCGCAAAGTGAATATATGGTCTATACAGCCACGTCCTGGGCGGAAACCGGTCTGCTCTCCCCTAATCCGAGATTCCCGTTTCGCAGTGAGGCGACGAACGATAACTGAGGTCAATAATTTTGTCACAACTGGCGTTAGGCTAATACCGCTGTGGTTAGAACAGTCTGTGCGACTCTCCTTCCTGTATATTGCCACTATAATCGATTCAAAACAATTGGAAGGGGCCTTTTCTACCTTCCAGGCATGTTGGAATAGGGAGGTCAGTGCTTTTCAGACGACCATACCTTCATTCTTAAATAGTGCAGGTGGGAGGGAAGCTGCCAGCAGCACGAAAACGATTGAGGGCTGTGATCGCGTTTCGGACGTCAGCCTCCGATGGAGCCTCTAAACCAACCGGCCAGGGCTCGTCCTGCATCACCTGAGTAGGTAGAGGTCCGGGAGTTGGTGGCCAACCGAACAGATCGTTAAAGTGTTCCGCCCAAGAAACCAACCGGCGCTCCTTAGTGCGTATCAGAGTACGCGCGCTGTCTCTAATTGTCTCACTGACGCCTTGTTTCCTGAGACGGATGATGCGGATCAGCTGGAAGTGCTTGCGGTAATTGTCTACTGCTCCAGTCTCCACCATTTCTTGAGCCTGACTGGTCCACCAGGCTTCATTATCAACACGCAGGCTCCACTTTAGTTCGCGCCTAATAGTCCGTCTGGTCACATTGTGCTAGAGCCAGTTGGGAGTTTTCTTATAGATTCCAACAGGTTCACCGACCTCTCGGATATCCAGTGACTGGTGCGGTGACGAATGATAGTGCCCCAAGCAGATTCTCCTGCATCGTGCATGGCAGCCGACATCCTATTCCACCGAAGCTCAGTGTCATTAGAACAAGACAGCGAAAGTTCGGTACTCAGTGCGTCTTGATAGGCTTGCCTGACTGAGGACTGAGACAATTTCTCCGTCGATAATCGGAGGAGACGTTTGGTGCACCTCCGTGTAAAGTTAGTAAAAATAATGACAGCGTACCAAGGCATGATCAGATTCAAGGTAGGTTTTTCAAAACAAGTGGCAGTCTAGGAGGAAACCACTCCATCTGTAACTTATGGCTATGTGGTCAATTTGGGTCCATCGCTGGCCAGCTACAGGAGGACGCCAAGTGGCACTTCGGCGCCCACTGTGTCTAAAAGCAGTGCTACTAAGAAATAACCGGTGCTTCGCCCACATTTACAACAAACGCTCGGCGTTGTCAGTCCGTTCGGAGTTAAGCCCATAATCACCACCCAGCTGAGCTTCTGAAGAGCTCAGACGCCCTACTTGTGCGTTCATATCCCCTGCAAGTACTATAATCTCTGAACTAGTAGCACTGCGTGGTAGCGCGTTCAGTTCGTGATAGAATGTGCCCTTGGCAACAGTAGAACTGCAGTCGGTGGGAGCATAAGCGGAAAACACAAACAAACAGCATTTTTACTACTTCGTGTATCAACCCTAGTTGATATCGGCGAACTGGCTGCACACAAACGGCTGTTCACCGGAATCCAATCACCCAACAATGGCTCAGTCTTGGAGCTGAGTATGATACCTACACCAGCTTGATTCATGAGTGCTGCATCAGCGTCTCCGGATGCGTGCAACCAATAGCGAGAGCACAATCCGGGCGCAGTTGGTTCAATAACCCCATTATGGTAATTGATCCTAGTTTCGGACACAACACGTAAATACCAAGTGTGTCGAACGCAGGTGCGAATGCAGCCTGCTGAGCTATTTGTCTTAAAGTGCGAACGTCGAATGCCGCCAGGGAAACGGGACAGCGTGGCCTTATAAGGGACGGTTGCCGATGTGAGTCTAGTGGGTGTTGCGGGAAGTTGGCTGTAGTTGGTTCTACTCCAGTGGCACTTCGATTGCTGTCAATTAAGTTTGGAATTCTAGAAGGAAGGTTAGTAAGCTGAGCCAACACTACCGACAGAGCTTCGACAGTTTTATCTACCGACTGAAAATTGTAGGCATACAGAACGTCTTGTTCACAGCTAACATAAAGCGTGACGCCTCCGCCTTGTCGGCTAACGAAGCGATTAGATCTAAATAGTGCGTACCCTGACAGATGTAGTTCACCATCTGTGAAATCCTGAGACAGTCACGTGTCAGTGAATGCGATTATGTCGGGATGAGACCAATCTAGAAGCATATCTATTTCGTACATCTTATTCCTTAGGCTGCGCACATTGCTGAGCACTATATAAAGGCATTCGCAACGTCAAAACCTGTATGATGCGCTACCAGAACAGGCACGGGCAAGAGGGAAAAGGACCGCCGGCTGACTACCCGAGAACCCACCAATCGGAGATCCTGTTCACCAGGAGCTCGCCCGCTTTTGAGATTCATGATGGCCCCTTTTGGCTTCAGCCTATGCGCTAGCGGGAGGTCAGGCTGAAAGCTAACACTAATACTCTTCAGTATGGAAGCAAACCGCAACAGCGCGTTGCGTTCCTTCGGGGTGGATAGGACCACACAAAGCAAGCACGGTCGAGGGTTTGGCGCGCTAACTAGGACGTTACCTAGTCTAGTCAGTTTTCTGACAGTAACACCGGGAAACCCAGACAGAAGAAGCAACGTTCCGTGCATTTTAAACCACAGTAGATCGTCCAAGATACTTTCAACAAGAAGTGTGGCAGTGGATTCCACAGCGTTACGGATATTACGCTGCTATCTATGAAAAAATCATCTGGACGGTGTATTTATAGCGCGTCGATCGTGTGCTATATAGCCGGTACGACGCCAAACGACCAAGCGTGAACGTACACGAAAACACACGTAAAAAAGTTAGGGAAAAGGTTTATTGAATTGGAGAAGAGCTAGCTAATGCCAAAAATAGAGCACCAGGGGAGAGCTAGCTAGGGAGGGCGTAATTGGGCGTCGAGTGCGTGGACGGGGCGTCGTTCGCAGTCGAGTCGCGCGCGCCAAAGGCGGATATCGTGTGTTTCAAACGAACGGGAACAAAGTTCCGACAAGCAAACCGCTTAATTCCTTAAAACATAAGAAAACTATAATGTAAAATAGTTTGCACAGTCATACGGGGAATCTTCGGGTCACTACACAGCCCCCCTCTTAGAAAGAAAAATGTGGGTGACCCTTCGATCTACGTGAGGACTGTCGGTCGCGGGCCAGCCTGCGAGACCAGGCAGTGAAACTTGATGCAACTGCTGGGGGAGAACCAGGGGATCGGACCCTAGCGGGTTCCCACCCGTGTCCTCCCTAAAGGTGTCGAAAACACAAAATAGGGGTGTGATGGTGGCTGAAAGCTGAGGCGGAGGGACTCGCCTCCCTCAGTGCGGTCGATCAATCGAGTGGGTGAGTAAATTTTTAAACATACAGCCAATTGTACTTTTGCCTCAGACTTATGAATAGAGCGTTTGTGTGCAGAGTCGGTGCAAGTTCTTTCTGTTGACGCGGTTGGGTGAATCAGGCACAAAACATGGTGACAGAGGTGATGACGTACCAAACCCCGATCGTATTTGATGCACAAACGTTGGTTTCATTGTCGTATCCTCTACAAGTGATAGAAAGCATATTACCGGATTGCTGGAGGGTGTAGAAAGGGAGATGGATGGATTTTGCTACGCTGAGCGCGTTAGATGAATATCCGAGATGGTATCAAATAGCGATATTCAGGTACTGCATCGGCGAAGATGCGAGACGGATATTAGAAGCCTGGAAGTTCTGTGATTATGACGTAGAACCGGATCTTACGGAAATAATCGAGTGGTTTGGTGATTATTGTGAAGGCCGATCAAAGGTTTTCGCTCGCTGCTGCCGGTCGGCCTACGTTAGCCCACGTAACATGAAAGTCGGCAAGAAAAGCAAGAGATTTCAATAAATAACAGGTGGGATTGAGAAGAGTATGAAAGGATTATTGCGATACTGTCAATTCAAGAACGATCAGTACCATTAAAACTTGATTAAACAGCCACTGTGAGTAAACTGTTTGAGACACACTGCACCGAAAGGCAGTTCACTGTAACACGGAGTTGTCACAAAGGGTAGAACAAGTTGATGATGCACCCGAAAGGAAAGGATGTGCCGAAGGTTTGCAAGACAACGAGTCGACTTATCAAAGTAAGGAAGGCGCATGAGGATGTTTATGTAATGCTACTTGGAAGTAATACCCCTAAAAAAGTCATCAACAATCCGGCACAGCTTCTATTCAAGCACAAAGCAAACCGAAAGCTCGCCCACAGTGGAAGAGGCTACGGCAACTGCAACACACGAATTACGAAAAAAAGGAAGGATGTGATAGTGGCTGAAAGCTGAAGCGGAGAGCCTCGCCTGCCTCAGTGCGGTCGAGCAGGCGATCAATGGAGTGAGCGAGTGAGTTTTCAAATATACAGCTAAGGGTACTTTTGCCTCAGAGTTATGAATAGAGTGTTTGTGTGCAGAGCCGGCGCGAGTTCTTTCTGACGTGGCTGGGTGAAGCAGGCACAAAACAAGGAAGTACGTAAGAGTCAAATGTTTGCACGACCGTGAACGTCAAACGTTCGCTTCAGGCTCGTCATCTCCTCCGGTTCATACGGGGAAGACAAAAGGGAACAAGAACAGTGACAGTAGTGAGGAGGGCAAAAGCAACAATGACACTTACCGGATGAGGTAGAGGTCAAACAAAACGCAACTCTTTTTGTGTTTTCAAAATGTTTTCTGATTCGATTTTCAAAGCGTGTTGAGTTCTTTTTTGGTTTCCAAAAACTTTTGCTGATTTTTTGGGTTTTCGTACGGTTGGCCAAAAGGGAAAAGGAAAGTGGGAAAAGAAAAGTGGAAGGAATACTAATCCCTTAATCGCACTAGCCAATGAACTTGCCTACCCGACATGGTCGATTTGTGCGGATCAGAGGAAGGCGTCGTCTTAGTCGTTCTATCGGATTGCAAAGTTGGAGGAATTGCTGAAGACGTAGCGGTTGGTTCGATGGGAAGCGACGGAGCTGAAGTGGTAGGATTGGATGCAGAGCGATGCTTGAGGTCAGGGGTGTTGGAAGCAGGCGAGTCTTCCACCATAGGCCGGACTGATACGTCAGAAGAGGAGACGAACTAACTCGTCGTTGTGCCAGCTGGGTGGTTCGGGTGTACCCCGTTCCAGCAGTGTTCGGTGACAATGTTCCACCTCCGTGAGGCATTGTATGCCAGTAATTGTGCTGACTCCATGGGGAGTATTGGGCCCCAGTATGGTAATCTACCAAACAAAGACGCATGAACTGAGCATTCAGTCAACGCCTCACAATGGGCGCGATACCCCAAATTCGCCTAGCTGCCTTGCGGGTAGGTTATTTAGCCAAAGGCTCGGGGTGGAGTCCCCTAAGTCAACTCCCTACTTCGGCTTGGGCAACGGGGTAGTATCACGCCGTCTCACAAAACCATGGACTGTATTACAAAGTGCTCATCAACTACTGTTTTTGCTAGTCACTCTCACGTGACTTCATCACACGCCAATTGTTTGTTTGCTAACGACCATCACTTTCCGTTACCCGATTCATGTGTTCAACAATCTGGCTGCGATTCCGGTGGCGTTGCAAACCACGGAGTTCAACCTACGGTTATTCTTCATCCTCGATCCTCGTTCCGTCTGGCGTGCTTCAACGTTCGGACACTCATGCAGAATGGACAGCAAGCCGGTCTAGCGCGCACCCTAGATTCCTTAGACATTAATGTCTGCTACCTTTCAGAAACCCGATTGCAAGCTCCCAACACTGTGCTTACATTGACATCCCCCAATGAGCACGAAACCAGATATCACCTGCTTCTGGAGATCCAGAAGCAGCTTCAGCGGGTTTGGCTGGTGTAGGCATAGCACTAAGTGGCAAGGCCGAGGCCGCACTTCTGGGCTGGTTCCCGATTAACAGCCGACTAGGTGCAGTTCGGCTTCGGAGTTCATGTGGAATCAACAGGCACCGCGAAGACACAACTTGTGTGTTTGTTTTAAGGAGTCGCCAACAGAGAGGTTTAGCTAGAGTCTGCATCCTGTGCAGGGGCTGAGGTTTTCAATCACCTAGCTGGGTTTCGTCAAGAAGCTGCATAACAGGGGCATGGTATGAAATGCCGAAGCGCTTTAAGACAACGGCTTAACCTCGTCGTAAGTTTTCTGATATTCAGGAAGCTCCGAAATGTCGTCGAGGTCATCGACGACTTGCGGGAGGCGCTGCGACAACGCAGTGAAAGTTGACACTATCAGACCTGATGCCATGTACTGAAAAAATGGATTTTAGCTGAGTAAAACAGGACTTAGGATTAATCTCTCGGAAAGGCGGGATAGGGAGATGGGACCGACTAAGCTGATCGTCCGAATCTGGGTAAATGAGCTTCAGGGTGAAAAAATACGGTGCCAGTGAAACTTAACCCAAATAGAAAAAGTAAGATTAAGAAGGTAGGCGGGATAAGTTACCGGATCTGAAAAGAAAAAATTTTCGGGGTCACCAATTATAGCGCGTCGATCATTGGGTTGGAGAGAGCAGAGGGGAGAACCCCTGTCAGCTTCGTCGATTCCTATTAAATGTGGGGTAGCTGCGTGTCGTGGTGCGACGACGTTCCACAAGAGCTCGTCGCAGTTGCAGCGGGAGCAGCAGGATCTCAGTGTTTTCATTGTTTGTCTAAAAGCCTTCTGAAACGTTCCTCTGAAGGTGCGTCAACAATTTCCTCTAGTAAACTGTTCCATTCATTCACCACCCTGGTGGACAAGGTGAGGTCTGAGCGAGGTGGAGACTTCGTGATTTGAAAAAGTTCCATTTGTGACCTCGTGTCGAGTAGTCGGCGTTGGGGTGGAAGAATTGCAGTAGCTCGTTTCAGAGTTCACTAAGAAGGATGCGTCTAAGGTAGATGAGATCGCCGCGGCGACGGCAGAACTCCGTGGGAAACAGGTTCAGCTCGTGAAGTCGGAGAGGGTAAGGAAGATCGCGGAGCCCGATAACAGCTTTCGAGGTATGCTAAGGGACGTTCTCTGTCAAGGAGCACTCAAAATAAAAAAAACGGTTGGCTGCCGGTATTTTAGTATGAGACGTACGTATGCGGTGACTAGAGGTCGGGAGATCTCAGGAGTCATTCGGAAGAACGACCTATACTAGGTATCTAGAAGTCTCTTTGCAGCTGCGACCTTCCTCAGCGTGACCTAGGAGGTCCTAAGGTCAGAGGATACGATGAGCCGGAGATCCCTTTTTGAGTGGTGTTCTTGAGAAGAAATTCACTAATGTGGCATGTAGCGATTGGGTCAGTTTTACCGATTGGAAGAATCTCACATTTATCGCGACTTACAGGTAGTCGCCACTTAGTAGACCACTCGTGCAGCCCATCTAGAGCCTCGTAATTTATCGGCATCGTCTAGGCTACAAACTGTTGACCAGAGCCTAAGACCATCAACGTAGATCAAGCAGTCGGTCTGGAGTGCAACCGTGGTCATTTATGTACATTTTGAAGTTCTGATCCAAGTACGGACCCTTCTGGAACCCACTTCTCCTTGGCGCATGGGCGGATGTGCTTTGATTCATCTTTACGCGTAGGCTGCGGTCTCTTAGGAAGTCAGTGACCCAAAAGAGGAGTTTGCCCGTCACACCGATCTGCTAAGTCTGAGCAGCACTTTGGTGATGAACTTTGTCAAAGACGTTGCTGAAGTCGATGAAGACCACGACTATGTTTTCGGGTATCTATGGCTTGTGCCCAAGTTTCTCTGGCGACTAGCAAACGGGAGACGCATGAACGTACTTTCCGGAAACCAAGTTGGGATGAAGAAATTACGTCGTACTTCGCACAGTGCAGCTAGAGCGCGCGTGTTTGAGGATTTGTTCCATGGCCTTGCAGACGACGGATGTCAGGCAGATTGGGCGATAGTTCGCCGGATCTTCTTGGTTTCCGCCCTTGTAGTTGGGCATCACAGTGACTTTTTTCCAGTCAGTGGCTAAACGTCCGAGTTCGTGGGAGTGGCGAACTATTTGGCAGAGGGGATCAGCGATGTATTTTGCTATAGTCCTAAGGAATACAGGATGCAGCTCATCTGGGCAAAGAGAGAAGTTCAGATGCAGTTCGAAAAAGAGCTTCATTACCATCTAAGGGGTGATTTCGATTTTCGCAATAGAAGAATAGAGTGCAGGCAGAGAATCTGTGTAGTGATGGCTCCATTGAGTAGACCGAAGAGTACTACGAAGCTATGTTGGCTTGTTTGTCGTCATCGTGAAGCACAGTGCTTTCCTCGGAGAGCAGTGTGGAGACTCTTCTACCTGCCCTGACATTTCTTTTCAGGTATAAGAAGTTACTTGGGACATGTTAGACATTTCGTGACCAGGCTGTGTTCGTACTGGAGTCGCTTGTTGCGCGTTCTCAGGGTGCAAAGGTTTCTTACAGCCTTTTACTCTAAGTAGTTTGATGCTAGTTATGTTGTTTTGTAGTGATCTTACAGTTTCCGTCATTCTTTCTTTAAGGATCTGCTTTCTCTATCAATCCAGGAGGCCTTTGGATTAAGGCCTAGCTTTGCAGTTTGAAACGTGTAGTTCGATAAGCAGCACCATATTGGATCGTAGTAGCTGCCAAGCACCGTCGAGATCCGAAGACTGCGGAATGTTCCAAGCCGTGGTGCTTTCTGCTGCTTTAAATCTGGACTGGTCGGTTTGCCAGAAGTTGTGATGACGTGAACCCTGGTCATGAATAGTAAGGCATCGTGTCCCGTGGAAGATGACTGAGTGGTCACTTTTGCCCAGCTAATGGAGGGTCGTTAGATCCGAGATGTCAGATGAGGCCGGGATGTGCACCAGATAAAGATTGTGAGTTCGGCGCGGGAGCATCCGTGTTGGTGTT